TGTCCTCTGTATATTCACTCCTGTATCAATACCTGGAGAAAAACATTTTTTTTTTTTGCTCGGAGATATCAAAGACATCTGAAATAACCATTTCTCACAACTTTATTAAAAGTTTAAGCTTGTGACCTGAAGCCACAAAGTCTAAATACTGTCATGTTGCTTCACTCCACCAGATCTTTGTCCCTTTAAGTGCACCTTGGGAGTGCCAGAAATTTTTGGATCTCGGTCAGCAGATTTTCCCACATGAACAGAGCATCCCTGAAGCTTTGTTCAGGATACCTTTGAATTTTTTGCAGGTCCTTTGATCATTACTACTGATAGAAAGTTCAGAAAGAAAATGGTTGTGCAAGAAAAAGTAACGCAGCAACACCACAAACCACACTGTTAAGAACTGTGAATCCAAGCCCATATATTAGTTTGGACAAAGGTCACAAGCTTAAGCCCAGCAAATACCTTTAACACAACCTTGTCTGTTTATACCTCAGCAGTGCCATTGTCTGATCAAATGTATTTTTCATTTGACGGATTGTTGTGATATAATCTTCTGATCACATCTGTTTCGAAAACTAACCAGTAATCCAAATCTTACACTCCAATTTAAACTCATGCCTTTAAAAAAAATAAATGACCTAAATTCCTCCACAGTCGCTACTATTAAACCAATATTTACTATTACTATTAGTCAAAATTGGTGCCTAGATGAGAAAACAGTGATGTTATATGACTGGCTCATGCCTTAGTTGTACAAATATTGTAGATTATTTATTTTACTTCACCAGATTTTAATTCAGGATGTCAGTTACAAGTTCATCAGATGGGTGGCATCTGATCATGCACATGCATTTTTGCAGGAGAAATAACATCGGTATTATGTTTAATGAAACCTCGGCGTAGAAAAAAAAACAATAGCGCTGGCACATTTCACAGACACAACGTACATGTAAGAAGGTAACACTGCAACTCCCGCTGAGTACACAAGGTTGTGTGCCAACAATAACAGATGGCTGTGTTGAAATAAAAAAAGACTTTATGCCCGACCACCTTGTTTTTGCTCCAGTTTGAAAAGGACCACCGTGGTGCTTCAGTCCTCCAGACATTCCAAACTCTTCAAGTGTTACTTATCAAATCCCTACAGGTGCTCTCTGATGAGATAGGTTTTATGCTTTTCTGTTAAAGCCGTGTGTTTCCATTTGACGGAAACAGAAATATGGCATCGGATAGAGTTGGAAAAGCCTTGTCGTTGATGTGCGAAAGGGGAAATACCTTGACAATGGAGGTTTGTTTGGATAGCATGAAAAAAATTCCTTCCATTTCCTGAAACAAAAGGATAAAAGACTTCTCACCTCCGGGTTGATGGAAACAAGTTTGTTAGCATCACACCTTACTTTATCAAAACAGCTTTAAGAGTTCTTATGACAAGAGCTGCACATAATAGCATTTTTGAAAAAGAATAGCAGATATAATGTCAAGGCCTAAGAAAATAGTGATATTCAAACTTTGCTATGTGTTGTAAAACTGTCCATTGTTATGTCCATTTTTTTCATCTGTATTGTATATGATAAAAAAACACATGGTACAATATTGTTATAATGTTATAACTTTATGCTTTCACAAATAAAAATGAAACATTTACTTTGCAAAACATCAAGTAAAGCCACAATAGACAAACTGATATTGCTTTTTAGAAAGGTTTTCTCAAATATGATAGGGGTCTCCAACCCTGATCCAATATATCTACTGTCCTGCAAAGTTTAGATGCTTCCCTGCCCCAACATAACTTGTTAAATAAGTAACATAGCATGCCATCAAGTTTGGCAAATGTCTGGTTGTTACGGCCCCTGGCCTTTTAAGACTGTGCAGGCCTTTTCTTATGCAGGTTCAGCTCTGACAGAACTCCCTTGGTGGCTGCCTGAGGACTGCAGTGACATGATTGGAGCAGCAGAAGAGTGTCAAGCCAATCAGTGTGCTGATGAGGCCCACCTGCACCTTATAAAAGGCTCCTGAAAAGCTTTCAGTTTGGGGACAG